CACACACGCACACATGCACTCGCCACGCGGCGGTACATACCATCAAGGAATCCCTTTCCATTTCTCCGGTTGCAAGTTTCAACAGCAAGTAATTAATTAGTAGTCCAGCAAGCTCCACACCACACCGGTGCGAAACTCACCAGCTACTACTACACACCCAATAAGTACTCCCTCCGTAAATCAATATAAGAGCGTTTGGATCAGTAGTGATTTAAATGCTCTTATATTCGTTAACGGAGGGAGGAACAAACAGATGACTAAGAAAGACAGATAAAAACTCTGTTGTTGTTTGTTTACATCGTTCAAAAAATCAACGACAAGAGGCCAAACCGCAGTAAATGGCACACTGGGTTCCTTCCTTTGTGAGGCCATTCTGAAAATGTCAGCATGCGGCCTTCGTCTGGCAACCCCACCCTCCCGCAGCCTCTGTCCTCCACCCATGGCCTCAGACACTACTGGCTGCCACCTCCCACTGCACTCGAGCCACCATCAGGCCTCTTGTTTGTCTTCCCCGCTCGCCCGTCCCTTTTTTCTGGCTATACCCGTGTCCCAAGTCCCAACAGCTAGCTATGTTTGCCAGTATTGAACTGACGCTGAAGACTTCAAGCAAGATTTCTCTTGCTATGAAGAGAAAACTGACCATTTCCCTGGAAGCTTCCATATGTGTTTGCAAGTCGATTGGTAAGTGAGTGAGCAACTTAAGATCAAGATGGAATTCGCTCGCTCGAACCTAGGGAGTATAGAATCGTCAACACATCATTAAGGATAATATCACAAATCAGTAGATTCAAAAAGACATTAAGAACCAAGCGTAGTACTCATGAGGGAGCACCATGCAGCTCAAGAACTTCTTCCGGCATTTGTATACAGCAGTTCAAAACTGCACCCACCAGTCCGAATCAACCATTACAGGCTCTACTCAGTCTGGATCTATAGGAAGTATGGAAAAGAGCAATAAGTGTGAGACACTCACAGACCCATTACTATTTGAACAAGATTCTCATGTACGCAGTCCAACAATGGTCCCTCTCCCGTTGCCTCCCCCGCGGGCGACTCAGAAGGGCTCAGCCGCCACCGCCTAGTCCCTCCAGCGCCCTTCTCCCCCTCCGCCGTTGCCGATGATCGGTGCCGGGCAAAGCCCGTGCGTGCGACGGCGGCGGCGGAGGGTCTCTACTCCCGTTCCCGGATCCGTGGTGGCGTGGGTGTCTTGATCCGCGGGGTGCGGCCCTCCCGACGGTGCGGCGGATCCTGGTGCATGGTTGCCCAGATTCATGGGTGTGGGACTCCCGGCAGCGTCCAGGCTCCAGGAGGCGGCGGGATCGGTCGACGGCGGGCGGGCTTGGGCGATGGCGTCGGCCGCGCGGTGCCGGATCTCGTCGCTCGTGGCGGATCTCGCCACTCCGGCCTTCGTGGAGGGACCTGGACCAGTTGCGGCGGCCCCGTTAGGCATGGCGACGGCACCCTCGGCTGGCGACATTCGCAGGGGGTGGATGGACATGGTCTTGACCGCGTGGGCGGTGAGTCGCCGGTGGATCTCCTCGGCGCTGCAGACTCTCTCCCGCTGCACTTGGTGTCTTACGATCGCGGTTGTCGGCCTCGGTGCGTTGGTGGGGGCTGGTAGAGACGACATCGGACCGGAGGAAACTCTGGATGACTCGTTCATCCCGACGGTGGCGACGGCCAGGGTCGCCGTTCTTCTCCTTGCAGGCGCTTCGAGGTCCCTGCCCTCCACCCCGACTCTAGGCCCGGGTGAAACCCCTAAATCTCCTTAGATTGGACGGCGGCGGCACTGCGTGTGTTGTACCTAGGGCTAGACCAAAAGCTCGTAGCTCTCGAGCTTAAGGAGCGCTCGATAGTTCGGCTCGTTAAGCTCGGAGCTCGCTTTTGAATGAACAGAGCCAATCACTGATTTTAGCTCGTTAAGCTTAACGAGCTTAACGAGCGAGCTAATGAGTTTCACGAGTAGCTCGTTAAGCTCGTTAGTAACAACATAACACATATTTTCATCTTACGTGGCAAACTTTTTGTAGCACCTCAACCCATCAATTAAATCTAATTGATATACTCCCTCCGTTCCTAAATATAGGGTGTATAGTTTTTGGCACGGAAATTAAAGAACACACGTGGAGGGAATTTTTTACAAGTTTTGAGCGAGATTACACCTGACTAATTGACATGAGAAAATAGAGGAGCTTGCCTAATATAAGGAAATGTAATCAAATCCCTAAAAAAATTATCCAAACGAGTTATGCAACGCAATACATCTTATATTTTGGATTTTTTCTCAAAAATCTAGGCACCTTATATAAAGGAATGGAGGGAGTATGAGGCAACAAACTAGTGCATTTCTTTTTGTAGTCACCATATTTCATCTTAAAAACCATACCTACACATTCATCTTGTATATCATAACATATTATAATCTGTTAACGAGTGCTCGCGAGCGCTCATGATCTTAACGAGCTTCAAACGAGCCGAGCCGAGCAGGGTCTTCTGCTCGTTAATCTTAACGAGCTTAACGAGCCGAGCCTTAACAAGCACGAGCTTAACGAGTACGAGCTTAACGAGCCGAGCTGCTTGTTAGTCCACCCCTAGTCGTACCCTTCTCGGAGGCGCCGCCTGGGGCGTTTGGGTGCTCGGAGGAACTGCAGGAGGAGGGGATGGGGCCAGTGGGAAAAGGTGGTGTTTCGCGCCAGAGGAGCGGCGTGGTATCTGGCACGTCGACAATGGCGGGTCTCAGCGGCATGGAACAGCGGGGTCTCGCCTGTGGGCGTGTGATGATGGACGAGCGCGGGATGGTGGCGTTGTCTGGCGTCATGGTGGCGTCGACGGCTGCTAGACCGGGCAAGGTAGATGCAGCAGTACAGCACTGAAGATGGACTGTTGGCAGGTGGCTGCGGCAGCCTCATACCCGGCAGGCGTCCTGATTGAGGAGTGCGCCGGATTGGTGGGTGCCCCATACCCGGCAGGCGTCCTGGTTGGGACTTCAGGTCTTAGATGTTAGGTTTGGTATCAACATCCCTACATCAACTGGATAGGAGTAGCGACAGATGTTGCCTAGACGGTGGCTTTAGTTTTACGGTTGTATGACTTTGTAACGTCTTGTGTGAATAATTAATAAAGTAGCTGCATGCATCGTCCAGATGCATAGTCTGGGGGTCATCCTCCTTTTCTAAGAAAAACGCAGTCCAACAGTAAGTCAAACCTTGGCACAAGTGACATCCTGATTAAGAGTTGACTCATAAGATAAAAAACTGCACTATTTTGTCATCAACACCAACGCCAACATAAAAGATAATTTGAGATGCCAGTAAAAAGCTTAGGATGTTATGTGAAGTTCTAAGAGATGCTGCCTTGGATTGGGGTGTTTTTTTGCCAATAGGCAGTTAAAGACAATCTTTGTTCAATCTTAAGGACATGGCCGATGGTATGTCCCATAACACAGCCCAGCAGAGCCAACTAGGCTCGGATGCCATGCTAAAAACTTAGCGTATGCCCCACAGACTGGACGGGCGCTTGTATAGGAGGTCGCTTCCTCGGTTGATAAAGTGAGGAGAGAGATGAAAGAGAGAAAAGAAGGATGGAAAAGAGGGATAGTCATGGAGCAGAGAAGACACAGACAAACTACTTTATCTCACGCATGGTCCAATAACGGGCTGTGGCTACCGCGGTTGAAGAAGTCATTAAGCCACTGCTGTGATGGATCGATGCGAGCTTAACCAGTAGTCCCAGTTTCATGGGCTGACGTGGATGGGCTGGGGCAGCACCTTGGTACTGCCTTCATTGTATATATGCCCTAAGGACAACCTAACAGAGGTAATTTATGTGTAGTGTTTTGACGAGATGTGGTTAAGGATAGCTATCAAGAAACCGAAAAACTTTGTTCAATCTGAAACTTTGGTACCGTATGTCAGCACATATTCCTACTTTTTTGCATAAACACCAAACAATTACACAACCGCCTTCAATACATATGCAATCGGGGAACAAATTGGACGAAGCTTTTTTTTTTTTATAGCCTGAGGTCTGAACAGATGAAGTTGCTTCCAGTACTGGGTAGTACCATTAGCCAAACCGATGGGTGGTGGATCTACCAACTCTAGTTAAGCATGCATGTAGCATGTGAGGGTTGTCCACTTGAGTTACTGACTAGCTAGCTTAATTTTAATCCAACTTTAATACCCCGGCCGTGATTAAGCTTCATTAGAGGCAGCTCTCCAGCTTGCATCTAATCAAACATAGCCATAAAATATTACTAAGCGACTTTCCTAAATTCTTGGTAAAACTCCACAGAAAATCATTTGGTACTGGAGTCTTATTATGCTCCATCTAAGAGATACCTTCATATACTTCATCATTCGTGAAGTAAGCAGTAATAACAGTATTTCGTTCTGGAGACTACTGTGTAATGTGAGCATTTGACTCTTATTATACCATAGAGAAATTGTTTTTATCTGGTGCACCAAACATTCTCTTATACTACTAGTCGGTAAAAACACTTTAAAGTTGCCCTCACCCACAAGGGAGCTCAACGTGCTAAAGATAAGCATGTTCACCTAGGGGGGAAATTATACGGAATATTCTCAACCTCACTGCAAATGGTAAGGGAAACAAATTCTACATGGATAAGCATGTTCACCCACAACGGAGCTCAACGTGCTAATTAAAGATAAGCATGTTCACCTAGGGGGAAATTATACGAAACAAGTTGCCCTCACCTACATGGAATCAACAAGTATATGAGTAAACTAATATAAGAATATTTATATCACTAAAGTAGTGATTTAAACGCTCTTATATTACTTTACGGAGGGAGTACATGGTATCCAAACAGCCCATTCCAAGCGGAAAAATTCAATGTTTTTTGTGGTGCTTAGTAAAAGATCACTACTGAAATGAGTTTGCAGGCCATCCCAAACGTAATCTAAGTCTGCTGCCACGCCGTGAACAGACTCACGCTGCGTGTGCACTTATTTATGAAGAGTAGAAAACGGAAGTAGTTACTTTGTGTATTGGATGGCCCAGAAGTCGGCGTAGACGTAGGTGGCCTTGACGGCGGCAAACCCAGCGGCCTTGCCGAGCTTCTCGAAGTCCCTGAGATACCTCTCCTTGCCGCCCGGGCTGTACGCGACCAGGCTCATGTCGACGGCGAGCAACGCCTGCGCGCTGTTGGTCGCCTCTGGGTTCACCGGCAAGATGCATTCCACGCTGATGACCTTGCCGTGCGCTGGCAGCGCGTGGTAGCAGTTGCTGAGCACCGTGGCGCACTCATGGTCGCTGAAGCAGTCGAGGATCCACATCATGAGGATGGCGTCGCCCGAGGGCACCTTCTCCAACATGTTGCCGCCCACGTGCTCGACCCTGGGGTAAGGAGGGGCGCCGGCGATGACGTGGGGAAGGTCGAAGTTGATCCCCTTGATGCTCGGGTACATGGAGGTGATGGCATGGCTGACGGCGCCGAATCCGCCGGCCACATCGACGAGGGTGCCGATGCCGTCGAAGCCCCTGTACACCTGGAGGAGCTTCTTGGTGATGATGGCGGAGTGGTGCTTCATGGCCTCGTAGAAGAGGCCTTTGAAGCGCGCGTCCCGCCCGGTGTACTCGTACCACGGCGTCCCGTACGCTCTGTGGAACGCAGTGCCGCCGCCGCCGTCGAGGACCGCGTCCTTGAGGTGGCGCCAGGGCTCGAGGTAGACGTGGTCCTGGGCGAGGAGAGCGAAGGGGGCCATGGAGACGCCATCCTCGTTTGGGGCGAGCCACCTGCACACCGGTTCGGCGGCGTAGCGGCGCGAGAGGCTGCCCTCCTCGCCCTCCTCCACCGTGCACGACACCACCTTGTACGACGCAAGCACACGCAGCATGCGATCCACCATGGACGCCGCGTCCGGGTTGTTGACCTTGCACGGCAGCTTCGCGAGAACCTCCTCCGGAGTCAGCGACTTGCCGGCGGCGCCCACAAGGGCCTCCAGAAGGCCCAGCTCGATGGCTGTCCTCAGCGTCATCGGTAGCACCGTCGAGTTGGCTAGCTGCAGCGCGAACATGCACGCCTCCTCGTCGGCCATGTCGCCAACTAGTCCTACTACAATTTGCTGCTGGGCTAGCTGCTACTCTACATTTATTTATACAGAATGAATGGGCGGGTATGTGTTGCGTGCTCACTTGCCATGGACAAGTACTCTACTTAGGTGTGAACCAGCATATAGTTGGATGGTTATAGAGACTGTGGTATCCCCAGCCACCAGGGTTCAAATCATGCTGTTCACATTTGTTCCTGTCTTTCAGAGGTGTTCATAGGGATAGGGTGTGCGTATGTGTGTTTATAGGGGTGAGTGCATGCACGTGTATATGAACGCTTGCGTCTGTGCTGATGTTAAAAAAAAATAGTACTCTACTTAGGCACTGAGCATCTTTTTGCATCATTCGAGATTGAGCCAACTGGCTAGCCACGCCGTTTGCCCAGAATCGAGCATCTTTTCACATCGATCGAGCCCTGATCGATCTAAGCGAGCAGTGCACACTTCGACCGACGCACACTCATACTTTACTGAAAGAATGTCTAGTGCTATCACAATTTTGAATGGTATTACGCTCCTGTTTCAAATAATCAATTCTAAATGTTTTAATAAATTATACTCCCTCTGTAAACTAATATAAGAGCGTTTAGATCACTAAAGTAGTGATCTAAACGCTCTTATATTAGTTTACGAATGGAGTATAAAAAAATACGATTTTTCACAAGGGATGTGTTTACAGCCATCAAAAAATTCAGGTCCATATTCGAAAGGAGAATTCGAAAAAAAAACCCTATGTGCCTTTTGAATTTGCCCATGAAAGTTTTGGAGGTTGTAGACACATTCCATATGTACACTCACTCTTTTTCTAGAATTTTTTAAACATTTTTAATTGATTTTTAAAAAGTGTACAATCTACTATACAATAGCATTTCCGACCTATTACCATGTAGAATATTTTTGGGGACTGGACCCAGTTCACGGCCACATCGGAGGTTGAACTGATGCCAGGAATGGCATCTGGAGAGACCACCTGCAACGCCATATATCATGGTGGCAATCAACGGCCACCTAGATCTGGCCGGCCTAGGTGGGTCTCGGCGCTGAGGTCGCTCAGGGGTGAGAAAGGAGGTGCCTTTCCGCTCGTCTCTTTGGTCGGTATAGCGGCGTGGCTCGGGTGAGGTGTTGTTGGGGTCTTGGAGGTTGGGGTGGCGGCCCTGGTGGTGGGAGCGCGGTGCTTGTGCGTGGAGCCCATGGCTCAGGGGTTGCCCGGTGGCCATGGCCATGTGGGCGGCGTGGTGGCCGGGGTGTGGCATTCGGTGACAGTGGTGCGGCGTTTGTACCATATGCCGACGGCGGTGAGTGTTGGCCGGGGTGAAAACATGTTCTGTCTTCGGGCAGACGGCGGCGCAAAGTTCGTCCCCTTCTTGAAGGTGTCGTCACGGTTCTCATTGCCCGCTGTGTTGCTCTAGGGGAAACCTTGATCCTTAGATCGGGCGGTGGCGGCGCTCCGGTGTCGTAACCTTCCTGAAGGCGTCGCTTTGGAGCTCATGGTTCATCGTATGCGGCTTCGTCTCTTTGTGGTGGTGTGTTCACGGTTGATGATCCTGGTAGCTCCTGTAGTGATAGGGGTGGTGTTGTTGCGATCAACTCCGTTGTATGCTGCCTTGGGTGTTGCGTGTTTTGTGGTGGCATGTGTTTGTATCGAATTGTTGACGATCCTTGCTTTTATATATAGAGCAGGGCGAAGCCTTTTTGGGTATAATCAATAAAAGATGTTTTATTCGATTTTATGGCGCCTCTTGTGTGGTAATGTATACGACTCCAATTTATTAATTGGTATAGATCAAATAGGGAAGCTAGTTAATATTTCTATCTTAATTTGTCAATAAATGCGGCACTGGTTGATAGGAACTGGAAGTACTGTAGTTATTGTTCGTGATCTCACCTCAGATTGTTGTTGCTCCTTGTGTATGTGACAAACATTCATATGCGTTAGAACTGATGGACACCCTCCTGCATTCAAAATCTGTCAAAGAAAGACAGGTCTGTGAGACAAACCATGACTAGCTAGCTCCGAGTTTGCAAGACAATTCAGGTTTAGTTCGATCACTAACCATCCGCAGAACTCAAAATCTGAGACACTGAATTGAGAAGTGCAATCCACTGATCATGAGAGCACGGATCTACGCCATGCCAAGTCAGCCCACGCCATGTCTTACAAACACATGAAGGTTAACTTCATCTGCTTCCTCTGTGCTACGCAAAGCAAAGATTTGGAATGCCACCGGTACCGCTTCACTCTTGAGCTGCATCGCTTCCCTCTTCAGTACCTCTTTTTCCATTTGCTGCTCTACTGGGCAGGGGCAAAGTGGTTCAACACGAGTGAGTAAACGCACAACAGGCAATTCAGATGAAAATAACTTAATAATGAATCATTATCTACCAGTTACTACTCACTTGCAATATCTGCCAGTGATATATGTGGGCACTTCTCCAGCTTGTCTTTCCTCTTCTGCATGTCTCATTTCAGATCACACTTTGGGTTATTCGAAGCTATGTTCGCGGAAGGGTTCAGCAGATAAATATCGTGAAGGAAGCGGTTCCATAATTTGTTTACAAGTATAAATATCCACTAATCCTATAAATATTTCGCACGACATTTTGCTTTTTCAACAAAGTACCATACACTGCAGCAGAAGGTTTGCATATACTTGTAAACAATTAGGACATCCGGCATTAACATTATATGCTTTCATAATCGATGATCCATTCAATGTTAGCACAACTGCAAAAGCCAAGAACTGCTCTCTTAACAATCTGATATGTAATTGATTTTACAAAACTATTCAATGCTTAGCCAGGAAGGTCTATCTCAACAATCTGAGATGTAAACTGATTGTACAAAGCATAATCTATGATATTATACATGACAAGGCATTGCTGTACAAATAAAATCAATTCAGCTTGTAAGAACTGGAATTCAGATTTTCGGGCAGGTGCAAAATGAGATTTCATTAGAACATATAGGGACTCGGCGAATGATAGAGAATTTACATATAAAACACAGAAGACACTCGAAAAATGCTAGTAGGTGAGACTGCCTATTTAATTAGTTACCCATTGCCTTCAACCTCATCGGATTCCTAGTGGGGCCAACATTCTCCTTCAAAGCATCCTCAGGTGCATCGGCATGACCTCGTACTGCTGGTTGATCTACCTGTTCTTCTGTGGTCCCACGTTACCTTGTTCGAAATATGCCCTAGAGGCAATAATAAAGCGATTATTATTATATTTCCTTAATCATGATAAAGGTATTCATGCTATAATTGTAATGATCGGAAATTTAAGTACATGTGTGAATACATAAGCAAATACCAAGTCCCTAGTAAGCCTCTACTAGACTAGCTCGTTGATCAGAAGATGGTTAAGGTTTTCTATCCATAGACATGTGTTGTCATTTGGTAATAGGATCACATCATTAGGAGAATGATGTGATGGAAAAGACCAATCCTTTAGCTTAGCATATGATCGTTCAGTTTTTGCTACTGATTTCTTAATGTCAAATACATATTCCTTCGACTATGAGATCATGCAACTCCCGGATACCGGAGGAATACCTTGTGTGCTATGAAACGTCACTTCGTAACTGGGTGATCATAAATGTGCTCCACAGGTATCTCCGAAGGTATCTGTTGAGTTGGCATGAATCGAGATTGGGATTTGTCACTTCGTACAACAGAGAGGTATCTCTGGGCCCTCTCGGTAATACAACATCACAAGAAACTTGCAAGCAAAGTGACTAAGGAGTTAGTTATAAGATGATGTATTACGGAATGAGTAAAGAGACTTGCCGGTAACGATATAGAACTAGGTATGGAGATACCGACGATCAAATCGGGCAAGTAACATACCGACAGACAAAGGAAACTACGTATGTTGTCATAATGGTTCGACCGACAAAAATCTTCGTAGAATATGTAGGAACCAATATGGGCATCCAGGTCCTGCTATTGGTTATTGACCGGAGAAGCGTCTTGGTCATGTCTACATCATTCTTGAACCTGTAAGGTCCACACGCTTAACGTTCGTTGATGATATACTACTATATGAGTTATGTATGTTGGTGACCGAATGTTGTTCACAGTCCTGGATAAGATCACAGACATGACGTGGAGCTCCGGAATGGTCCGAAAGTAAAGATTGACATATAGGATAAAGGTATTTGGGTTTCAGAAAGGTTTCAGAATGCATCGGAGTGCCGGAAGGGGTGGCCTCCGGAAGGGGTTCTGGGAGGCCACTGGTAGGTTATACCTATTTGGTGGGCCTGATGGACCAAAGGAGGGAGGCGGCCAGCCCACAAGGGGGTTGGGCGTGCTCCGCCTCCCCTGTCTTGCGTGCCAGAAGGAAGGAGGGGGCGCCCTATGGCAGTCGGCCCCCCTTTCCTCCCCCCCCCCATGCACCATACATGGAAGGGGAGGCGCCTGAGGCAGGGCAGCCGCTGGCCCCCCTCCTGCCATTTCCTCCACGCCTAAGGGAAGAAAGGGGGGGGCTAGGGCTGCCTCCTCTCCCCCCTCCGCCTATATATATGAGAGGAGGGGAGGGGGCGAGACATACCACGATTCCCAAGCCATGTGCGGCGCCCCCTCTCCCTGTAGTTCCTCCTCTAATATAAACCATTGTGCTTGACGAAGCCTGCGAAAAAGTTTCACCACCATCTTCACCACGCCGTCGTGCTGCCGGAACTCATCTACTACTTCGCCTCTCTTGCTGGATCGAGAAGGTGAGGACGTCAGCGAGCTGAACGTGTGCTGAACGCGGAAGTGCCGTGCGTTCGGTGATTGATCGGTATAGATCGTGAATGTGTGCGACTACATCAACCGCATTGATAAACACTTCCGCTTAGCGATCTACAAGGGTATGTAGATGCTCTTCCTGTTGGAGAACGTTGCAGAAAACAAAAATTTTCCTACTCGTTTCACCAAGATCCATCTAGGAGTTCATCTAGAAACAAGTCTTCGGATGCATCTACATACCTTTGTAGATCGCGT